AATATTAATTTTTTTGCTGCCAGGAAGATGTTTAATTCTTGGTTATAATTTGCTTTTTCTCCTTGTTTTCCCTCTCTCTCCCCTCCCCTCCTCTTGAGTTTTTTAATTTGGGTACCAGCCTTTTGAGTACTTGCCATTTCTTATTATGAATCTTTGGGTTTTATTATGAATTCTTTTTTTAATTTTATTTTTTCATTCAGGCAGCAAAAGCAATTCATTCCCAAGCACATGAGGGGAGCCCCTGGCGCCGAGCAGACCTGACCCTCCGCTGCATCCCCCCTTTCCGGATGGCTACCTCACCACTTTCGGGGTGTTTGATTGTCTTTTTTAGTTTTAATTTTGGGGTTCTGTTTTGTTTTGTTTTTTAGCTTCGTTTGGAGTTTTTCAGCCGTGCCGGGACTTTCCTGCCAGGTTCAGAGCAAAGGTGCTAATTTTTCCCTATTATCCCCCTCCCCCCAGACCTTTCTCTTTTGTTGCTCTGTGGATCTTTCATTCCCATTTTCTTTCGGAGGTTTCTTTCCCTCAGGATTTTTATCCTGGTTTTGGGTTGGTTTTGTTTTGTGGTTTTTTTTTTTTTGTTTGGTTGTCTTTGTTTGTTTGTTTGTTTTATTATTATTTTTAGATATTCTCTTTAATTTTGGCCCCGGAACACCCAAACCCGGGACCTCCTGGTGCTACAACCTCCAAAGACACATCTCAGCTCAATCTATTTTAATTTCCCTCTATTTTCTGCTTTATTTCCTCCTTTCTTTGCTGCTCAGTTCCACTTGGGAATTTCCTAAAGGTGCTATCCTCCCCACGCCCCCCCCCCCCTTTCCATCATCCCAAGAGCAAATCCCGGAGCAAACACAAAGCAGAGCCAAGAAATTAAAAGGGATTAAAAGGGAAGAAAGGAATAAATGAATTTTCCAGGTTAAGCAGGTGAATCTTCAGCTCCGCTGTCAACTTCCAGCAGCTTTTCCTCCATCCATCCATCCATCCATCCATCCATCCATCCATCCATCCATCCCTCTCCATCCATC